AAGATAAATACAACACTGTCTCTGAAATACATAAAAGAAACAGAAGGAAAAGATAGAAGGAGACGTCAAAGCCTGTGGATGCCTGCAGGACTACCTCGGATCGCCTGAATGAACTGAAGCAACAACCTCACTGCGGTCCAAAAGCTACAACATCTGTATCTGCACACAGTGCAGAGTGTAGTATTAGCACAACCGACCCCATGTGCTGGTAAGTGCCTAGCCTAACCTCAGCGAAGTAGTGACGAGGCTAGGACCAGACTACCAAATAAACTTGTGCAGTTAAATCATATACAACGGAAAAATAAAAGAAGATATTTACACTTAAAGATAGGAGGGGGAAAGCATGCTGCGGGGAGTATCAGATAACAATAAAATACCAAAAGAGGAATGTAAAGAAACCAAAATTTAATTGCCAACAAGAATAAGGAAAACAAACACAATATTCAGTTTCATTTCTTTCTTGTTGCAGGCGTGTAACCCGATCCCATTTCAAATATTACCGTGGCGGCATGCCATCCGATCCCACTTCATAAATCACCGTGGGGGGCGTGCCATCCGATCCCATTTCATATATCACCGTGGCGGTGTTCCACCCGATCCCATTTTATATATCACCGTGGCGGCGTGCCACCCGATCCCATTTCATATATCACCGTGGCGGTGTGCCACCCGATCCCATTTCATATATCACTGTAGCGGCATACCACCCGATCCCATTTACAAATCAACATCAATCATAAAAGAAGCCTGGCAAGGGAACAAGAGTATAATAACAACATCCCGGCAAGGAAGACAATATCGTAAACAATAACATCCCAGCAAGGGAACCAACAATGATAATCATCATATTAAGCATGAATAAATCACAACGGAATCATAACAATTACAATACGAAACTCACGGGCATGCTTGACACCGACATATAGATACTCGTTACCATGCCTATACGTCGTACTCCACAATTAACACATAACAATTAAGACATAACTCCTAATCCCTCAAGCTAAGGTTAGACCAAACACTTACCTCAAAGGCACGAACACAATTCAAGCCTCAACTACTGTTTTACCTCTTGTTTCCACCACCAATTCGCTTGTATCTAGCCACAATTTACTTAACGATATCAATAAATGCTAAATGAATCAATTCTAATGCATGAAAATTGGTTTTATGAAGATTTTTCCAAAAAGTCAAAAAATCAACCCTGGGTCCATATGGTCAAAACCCGAGGTTCGAACCAAAACTCGATTACCCATTCACCCACGAACCCAAATATATAATTTATTTTGAAATCCGACCTCAAATCGAATTCCAAATCCCTAAAATTCAAAAATCCTAAATTCTACCCAAAACACCCAATTTTCTCCATGGAAACCCTTGATTTTGAGTTAAAATCATGTGAAAAGATGTTATAGATTGAAGAAAACGAGTTAGAAATGACTTACAATCTATTTGGAAAAGTAGTTGTCTTTAAAAAATCGCCCAAAGATGTTTTAGGTTAGAAAGAGTTTGAAAAATGAGAAATTTTCGGCTAAGTTATGATTTAGCAGGTTGCAGATGTCGCAATTGCGACCAGGGTTCGCAATTGCGAACCCTTAAGGAACTTGCTGACTTCGCAAATGCGAAGGATACGTCGCATTTGCGATCATGGGAAATTTCGGTCACCTTCGCAATTGCGAGGGACCTGTCGCATTTGCGACATCACAATTGTGAGGAAAGGTTGCATTTGCGACCAAGGCCTGCCCAACCCAGTCTTCGGAAATGCGAATGTTTGTTCGCAAATGCGAGCTAGCAATTGCGAGCCAGGCTTCGCAATTGCGAAGCCTGCAGACCTGCAACACACAACAGTTTTTCCTAAGTTCTGTGGCCTATCTAAAACTCACCCGAGCCCTCAGGGCTCCAAACCAAATATGCATGCAAGTCCAAAAATATCATACAGATGCTCGTGCAATCAAATCATCAAAATAACATCAATAACTATGAATTTAGCATCAAAATCAAAGAAAAATCTCATGAACTCTTAAGTTCCATTTTTAACAACCGATGGTCCGATTCACGTCATATCAAGTCCGTTTCTTACCAAATTTTATAGGCTCACCTTAAGTGTCATATAATACTTTTACCGGGCTCCAGAACCAAAATACGGGCCCGATACCATCAAATTCAAACACATTCCAATTTCTAAAAACTCTTATAATTTTAGCTAAACAATTTCTTTCAAAAATTCATTTCTCGAGCTTGGGACCTCGGAATTCAATTACGGGTATACGCCTAAGTGCCATATTTTTCTACGGACCCTCTGGGACCGTCGAATCACAGGTTCGGGTCCGTTTACCTAAAATATTGACCGAAATCAACTTAAATTCATTTTAAAAGCAAAATTTATCATTTTTCACAGATCTTCACATAATGGCTTTCACATACACGCCCGGACTGTGCACGCAAATCAAAGTGAGATAAAAAGGAGATTTTAAGGCCTCGGAACACAGAATTTATTTTCAAAACAAGTGATGACCTTTTGGGTCATCACAATCTTTTACAAATATAACAAATCCAGTATAATCCAATAAGTAAAGAGAATTTTAATTGATTTCAAAGTTCTAAAAATTAGAAAAATTATTTAATTATGATTTTGTCCAATATAAAACCTATATTTCGCTAAGGAGTTTCGTGATTTTAATATAGAACTAGTTTCTATGTACGTGCACGTAAATGTTTAGTGAATTGTTTAGATGAAAAATTGTTATATAGCAATTGATTGTAAAACTATAGCAATCAATTAATTAAATGCTGAGAATGATGTTATTACATATCATAAACTTGAATTAAATATGTGAATATAATCAATTTAATTAAGTCAGATAATATATGTACCTATATTATAGAAATATGGAACGTGGTCGTATCTTATCGAGTAGTTTTTCATAGACGATGTTTTGGATGTATGTTTCCTTCTGACTCTTCGGTTAACTCTATTATGAACAAAACTCTTTAGATATTAATATCCCTTTTAAAAGTAGAACAAAAGTTTTCCATGTAAAAAATAGTTTTCTCTTAGCATCTCCTTACATCTTTATTCTCTGCCTTAGTTTTGCTAGGTTCCCAACGTGAATAACTTCTAGCGACTCCATCTTTTCCTTATCCTAAAAGACTCTTTGGAGTCCAAATTAAAGTCAAACACTAATTCACAAGATAATTTAGGTTTAGGAGTTCTTAGAAAATAAAAAGATGTCTTAAAGTATAGATTTTTCTAAAAAAAAATATATCAATATCTATTATATCTGTTATACACTATGATTTTAGGTTTGGTTATAATTATTTGTGAATTGTTTATATCTGTTTAGGTTTAGTTTAGAACAAAGACTAAGTATCCAAATATAAATCTAACACTAAATCGAAAGACACCATAAATTTATTAGTTTTGTGAACAAAAAAGATGTCGTATTGTATCAAATAAAAATCCAGAGATGCGCACTACTAAAAGGATTGCATCATACGAGTCTTTGAGAGTATGACACAGAGAGCCCATATCTTCTCTTCAACAAGATCTACAATTGGCTTATAAATATTAAATAATTAATTTAATAGAATTAGTCTTCTTCTATGATTCTTAATCTTTGGCCAACTCCAAATCATATGATCGTTTCAAAATTTTACTTTTAGGTCCGACTAAATTTGACTGTGATTCGAATTTGGTGCGAATTAATATTAGTCCAAGTTTTAAGTAACAATTTTATCCAATATATAATTATATTTTGAAGGACATAAAGGTCAATCAACTTTTTAAGAATATTTTGTCGTTCAACATTTAACGTGAAATATATATATATATTAAGAAGCAAAGAGCAAAGGTATATTTTTTCAAATGGACATCGGGGCTCATCCTATTCTCCTATTTTGTGCATCTGTGGTACCAATGTCCTATTATTCATTTTCTAACCAATTGATAACCTGCAATTTTCCCCCATAAATTAAAGGTGCTTACCCGTGCTCAAACGGACGGTGACATCCCACAGGTCGGATAGACCTTGCGGCAAGTGGTGTCATGTGACATTGCTTTATCAAAAATTTTATTTTATATATATAGTATACAAAATAAAAATATTGAGTCTAAATATAAAAATTGGCATTGCTTATCACTATAAGAATTTATTTATTCGTTCATTTTTTTAAATATTGTCATCGCTTACCAAAAATTCTATGTATGTCACTACTAGAAATTCGGAAAAAAACGACAACAAAAAGCGACCAAAGTTGGCCGCTTACAGGTCAAAAAGCGACCAAAAAGCGTCCAAACAGACCTGGTCGTTATTTTGCTGGTCCCTTTACCTTAGGGACCAAAGTTGGTCGCTATTTAAACTTTGGTCTCTAAGATAAAAGGATCAAATATTCCGGGTAAACAATATACCGACCAACTTTGGTCGCTTTAATATTTTAATAATATAAATTTAGCAACCACAGTTGGTCTCTATATTTAAATTACGTTTTTTTATTTATTATTAATCAAAATATAGCGACCAACTTTGGTCTGTAAAACAAATATTATATTTTAAAATATGGAAAACTGATTCTATTTGTCTAGTTCAAAGTATATAAAAGTCAAGGAGTGTTTTGTACATCATTATCATCACCGTCTGATGAACTTTAATCACCAAGACGGTATCCAGAAGGGTCTACTTATCGAGGACGGGAAGAATGATCACGGAGAGGACGGGAGGAACAAGCACTTGGAGGACGGGAGGAACGAGCACGGGGAAGGAGAGCCTCTGGCGATGACTCACGAGACCGTGGAATCGCAAAACCTCCAGAAGCTAGGATAGATTTGAGCTGCTCTTGCATGCCATGGCATTGAGCTTGCATGCCAATGTACTAAGCATCTCTAAGTTTTTCTTTTTCCTTGGTCGCTTCTAGCTCGGATGTGAGCTTTGTCACAGTCTCCCGCATAGCGGAGAGGCTCTCCCCATCAAGTTGCTCGGCTTGCGAGGAAGTCCCTATTCCTTGCATTCCACACTTATAGCGATGGAATTTCTTAGTAGGAAGCCTGTATACCTTCCCCCATTTTGGACCGCCTGCAGCCTCCGTCTACATTCTTTTAGCATCCTCGTCCGAAGGTTGGATTGGCTCGCCCGACTCATTAAGTGGCTGACTGCGTATGAATTCCTCCACTTCAACTGTGAAGCGATCCTATCAGATAAATTGCAAGTGAATTAGTATTTCAAAATTTATATAAAAGTAAATCAAAATACTTAATGAAAAGTGAAAACTTACATGTATAGTCGAGGCTCGGCCCTCGATCCACCTTTCTTGGTCCGTCTCTTTCTTCTTCCTTTACAATATGAGTCTCCTTGAATAGCTCATCTTGGTCCATCGGACGCCCCAACTTCTTTTCTTGAAAACTCATAAATTTTAGTTAATAAACAGAATAGATATACTTTGAAAATTAAAATAAATTAAGCAATTACGTACCATTCTTCTTTTTATTGTCCCTAGGCTGATCGCACCTCCAGTGTGCAAGGATCATCCCTTCTTAGATGCACAAACTTTCTTTCCTTTTTCGCTCTTCTCTAAGAACTTTGCGGTAAGCCATTGCCTTTGCAAATCCTCCCATAAATTCTGAAGCAACCAGTCAGGCTTCTGGTTTAACTTTCTAGCTTTGGAGAAAGTATGCGACAACCGCTTGCGAGCTTTGAGATGAAAATTTGCAGCCACTTCTGCGCTATAGCGGTGTTCCCATACACACTTGCTTTGTATTTCAAAAGTTAAATATTTATGGAAATATCATAAATATAAATAATTATACTGCTTAAAAGAATATTTATACCTTAAATTGATTGAAAATTTGCTCCTTCAGCGAGAATAGGAACTCACTCCAAGTCGCATAAGGGCCATCATAAAGCTTTCTGGTTGCTTTGGTGATTATCCTCGTAGTAATATTACTCGGGATGAACCTGTAATTTAATAAAAAAAACACATTAATATCTTAGTAAAACTGTACAAAACAATATGTAAAAATAACAAATAACTCTTACCCATCACCCTCAGGGACTATGATGATCCTGCTATATTGATCATAATGCACCTCCTCGTCATCATTAGCATCACCGTCCGAAGCATATATATCAGAGGCATGTGTGGAAGGTGTAGGGGGTCAGAGCTAGTATCTCGCAGGCGAAGGCCTGAAACAGATGGAGTCCTTGATAAAGATGCCATGCCATTCTATATAGAATTTATAGCAACAACTGATCTGTCAGTAAGAGGACTTTTTAAACTCCTTTCAACTTTTTCAAAATAACTCATTAAGTGCCATTGAATTTTAATGAAATACTTTTTCCGGTCTATAATAAGCGATCTTTTAGACTTTTTATTTTGGTCCAAAATAAATGTCCTTTTACATAATTAAGAAGGAATTAATTTTATTTTTTCAATATTTGCCCTTATTTATATATCACAATGTGTCAATGTAACAAATAATTAATAATTTAGTAAATACATATTTTTTTCTTTAGGTGTTCGCATTTTTTAAGGGATGTGTCAAATGCCAAAAAAGCCACTTATTAGGGACCAGAGAGAGTACTAAAAATGATTTTAGATACATCTCGAAGTCCCCTAATTAATGTCAGATGCGGATTTAAGATTTCTAGAATACGGGTACACCACTAAAAAAGAGGGGGAAAAGTGTTTCATGGGAATTGATCCTTCTTCCGTTGGGTAAATAATTCAACGTTTAATCAAGTGTACCATTCAGCCTTTTTAAAATATGGGACCACCAAATTATAATAGATCAACTCTAAAAAATATATACATAAAATACCTAATTTAGCAGAAACACTATGAGTTCTCGTATCCCATAATTTAGGCCTAAATCCGCCCGGGGTTAATGTGACCCCCTTGCGCAGATGAATATAGGTATATCAAGAGTGCAATTCGATGGCTAATAATGCATTATAGAATTAATATATTTAGTAGAATTTTGGGAAGCAAAATAGCGAAAAATGAAGAGGCACGTGCATCTTTAATGTGCAAAATTAAAGTCAAAGATTTGGTGATTCAGCAGCCTTTTCATTTACTAATGTCCACTGCTCAGTTTAGAATAGTTGTACTCATAAATACTACTCCCAATTGCGTTCACTTACTAGGCAATATAGTACACCTCGTAGCTAATATTTTATTACTGAGTAATTAATTCATACAACTTCGACAAAAAAAAAAAGACATTTATTTATTACTCCCTCCAGTCCAAAATAAGTAATTTTTTAGTTTTTTTTTTGTGGTTCAAAATAAGTGATTTTTTTAGATTTCAAGAATGAATTAATTATTTTTTCCTACATTGCCCTTGGAGTAATTAATGTTGGAGTATGTGTTAGGAGTGTTTATATGAAAAGATAGTAAATGTCAATATGGTTAATTTCATTGCTAATTAATGCTAAAAGTTAAAAAAATTTAATATGTGTGAAAATAATAAAAAAATCACTTATTTTGGACCGGAGGGAGTATATAGATGGTGCTATTTGATTCTCTATTTATTCATTTCTCTTAGCTTTATATTACAAGCAGAAATATTTCGGTAATAACCTAAATTAAATTGAATTTTGATTTGAGAATATTCCATCAATATTCCGCTCAAATCTCAAGTTAATTGGAGTCCATAGTTTAAAATTTTCGTATCTATTAAATATAGATTTTCAGATTGAGCCACACACAATAGTTTATTAGTCCAATTTGTTGAGTTATTTCCTGACTAGGCTACTGCTACGATCTTCCGTTATTTGCTTTTACAAATTTTGCTACTGTAGACAAAAATATTGCTTTTTGTTATAAAATAATAAAAGAAGAATATTTTTTAAAAAAAAAAAGAGAATTCTTATTGATTTGGATTGAATTACAAAGGAATAGAACCCCTTTATTTATAGGAAAAGAGTGACTTAGCCACCAAGTAAAAATCCCTAAAATCTCTCTAAAATATAGACATTCGTCTTAAATACAATTCTATTTATAACACTCCCCCTTGAATATCTATTCAACATATAATGTGTCTCGTTAAAATCTTAACTAAAATAAAATCCAGTGGGAGAAAATTTTAGTGAAGAAAAAAGAGTATACATATCTAACAATACGCCTTTTGGTTGCCTCATTAAAAACCTTGCACGGAGAACCTAGTGGGACAAAACCTTGTAAGGAAAAAAAGAGTACAACGCGTATTAACTCCCCCTGATGAGAGCATCAATTTTGTAACGACTTGACTGGTTGTTTTGAGCAATTGCGTCCGGTTCGGCAGTTTGAGATCACGAGCAACTTCATATTATATGTATCGACTTGCGTGCATGGTTGGATTCTGTTTCCGGATGAATCAGAGTCGAATTGGAAGAAGGAATTTAGTTTTGGAAGCTTAAGTAGTGAGAATTTGACCGGAATTTGACTTTTGGGTAAATGACTCCGGAATGAGTTTTGGATGATGTCAATAGCTTCGTATGATGATTTTGGACTTAGGCGTGCATTCGGATTTGGATTTAGAGGCCGTAGGGTAATTTGAGGCATTTCGGCGAAAGTTGGAAAAGTTAAAGTTTGGAAAATGGAGAGGTTTGACCCATAGTTGACTTTTGTGCTATCGAGGTCAGAATGCGATTCCAAAAGTTGGAACAGATCAGTGATGTCGTTTTGGACTTGCCTGCAAAATTTGGTGTCGTTTGGAATTGATTTGATATGGTTCGGACGCTTGGTTGCAATTCTAGAGGTTCTTAAAGTTCATAGTGATTTTCATGCATTTTGGTATCCAATTCGTGGTTCTAGAGGTTATTTTGGTGTTCCGATCGCACGAGCGAGTTCGTGTTATGTGTTCAGACCTGTGTGGGTGTTTGGTTTGGAGCCCCGAGGGCTCGAATGAGTTTTGTATGCATTTCAGAGTGTTTGAAAGAGGTTCAGCTGTGCTGGTGTTTCTGTTCTCGCATTTGCGAGCATTTCATCGCATTTGCAAGATTCTTCTCGTATTTGCGAAGATGGGCTGGGCAGGGGGAGTTCGCATTTGCGAACATTTGGGCCGCTTTTTGCGAAGGCCCTACTTTGCTTTTGCGAAGTGCCTCATCGCAATTGCGATGGAGACAAGATTCTTTAGGCTTCGCATTTGCGAAGATTTCTTCGCTTGCAAGTTTGCATTTGCGAACCCAGTGTCGCAAATGCGACATCTGTAGCCTGCTAAAAGCTGGCTATTTCGAGTTTTTGCTTTATTTTTTATATTTTGAACCCTAGAGTCGAGGTGATGCGATTTTGTGAAGAGATTTTCATGCCAAGTCACTGGGTAAGTACCTTTAATCAATTTCCAACTGCATTTTGTGATTATATCTTAGATTTAACATCAAATTCATGAGAATCAAAAGGAAAATTTAGGAAAAATTGTAAAATCTTTCAAAAATGTAAAATGATGATTTGAAGGATCAAATGGTATCGGAATTTGATAACTTTTGTATGAGTGAACTCATATCGGAATGGGTATTCAGTTTTTGTAAATTTTGTCGGGTTCCGATGTGCGGGCCTGGGGAGTTGACTTTTGTTGACTTTTTGCAAATTGTATAAGAATCATAGCTTTGTTAATTGAAATTGTTTTTTCTTGCATTGTTTGATGTATTCAAGTCGTTTTTGGCTAGATTGAGCCGAGCGTTGATGAATTGGTAAAGGAAAAATTAAATTGAGTATTGAATTGGCCGGAGTGAAGTAAGTATCTTGCCTAACCTTGTGTGAGGGACTTCCCCTTAGAATTTGAGTCTTCTATGCTAATTGTAGTCTGTGCATGCGAGGTGATAAGTGCGTGCTCAGTCTTATTTGTGGAAAATTTGCCTTTAGGGTTCTTAGGTCCTTATGTTTATTAAGTGGGAAGTTTTCCGATATGATTGAGTTTCCTAATTGCTTGTTTTACCTCTATATGCTCCCTACGACGTTGTTAGCTTTCTTCTAACTCTTACTTGTTACTTGGCCCTTATTTCCTTAACTGAAGTGATTATACTCCTTATTGTTTTGTTATCTCTTAATTATGAATTTCTCTATGACCCTGTGCATATATGCTATGTGTCCAAATTGTTGTAGTTGTCGGTATAGTTATCACAGGCCTTATATGTCTTGTTGTTTTGTAAAGGTTGTTGTGCTTCTTGATTTTTCCGTGATTCTCTTGTTGCCGTGTACTCATACTTTTGGTGGTAGAAATCCTTGTGATTGGGTTGTTGAATTGTTATTGTGGTTGATTTTAAACTATGTCTGGTTATTGATATGTTGAGGAGGAATAAGGGAGAATTGAGGTTGTCTGGGGGGATCGGATTGCACGTCGCAACAAGGAGTAATAAGGGCGGACGGGTGGGATCAGTTTGCACGCTATAACAGGAGGAACAAGGGTGATATATATTGAGGAGTAATAAGGGTGGACTAGTGGGATCGGGTTGCATGCCGCAACAAGGAGTAATAAGGGTGAATGATCATGTTGTTACTGATATGGTGATATATATACTATTTAATCTTATTGTAATTGTTAAGGGAACACGAATGGTAACGTAAGAGTAAATTATAATAAGAGCAAATAGTATATATATCACCATATCAGTAACAACATGATCATTCACCCTTATTACTCCTTGTTGCGGCGTGCAACCCGATCCCACCAATCCACCTTTATTACTCCTCGATATATATCACCATATCAGTAACAACATGATCATTCACCCTTATTACTCCTTGTTGTGGCGTGCAACCCGATCCCACCAGTCCACCCTTATTACTCCTCGATATATATCACCCTTATTCCTCCTGTTGCGGCGCGCAATCCGATCCCACATGTCCACCCTTATTACTCCTTGTTGTGGCGTGCAACCCGATCCCACCAGACAATCACATTTCACCCTTATTCCTCCTGTTGCGGCGTGCAACCCGATCCCAACATATCAGTACCAATCACAAAATAAGAACAAGCATTTCACAATTTTGCTCAAAACCTTCCCACAATATTTATACCTCAAATCATAACGACGGGAGGTCTATATCATTACGAAACTTCAACAGTTACTACTACACAACGAGACCAATCAAGGTATACCATAAAGTATCAATAAACCACGTAAACCAACAATATAATATAATAAAACTACGGAACAAGTAATACCTTCAATAGGGAAAACAACATTTAACAGGAAGCAATTAGACATGGAAGCATCAATAAGCAAGTAGCAGTTAAGGCAGAAAAGCAATATATAAGGGAACGGGGAAGGGAACAGGCTAAACAGATAATTTGGCGGCGCATAGGTACTCGTCACCATACCTATATGCCACACACATGAAATTTCACATAGCAAATAAGTCGGGGATCCCTAATCCCTTAAGTCAAAGTTAGACCAAACACTTACCTCAAGCCAACAGGTATTTCAAAGCTCAAATACCGCTTTACCTCTCGATTCCACCTCCAATCCACTCGTTTCTATTCATAATTAACTTAATAACATCAATTAACGCTAAAGAAATCAATTCCAATGCCTAATTATAGATTTCCCAATATTTTTCCCAAAAAGTCAAAAATCGACCCCGGGACCCCTTAGTCAAAACCCGAAATTCGGACCAAAACCCGATTATCTATTCACCCCTGAGACCGGATATACAATTAGTTTTGGAATTTGACCTCAATTTGAGGTCTAAATCCCCAAATTTCGAAATTCCTAAGTTCTACCCAAAACACCCAATTCCACAATGAAAACCCCTAGATTCTAGGATGAATTTTTGTAAAAAGATGAAATAGATTGAAAGAAATGAGTTAAGAATCACTTACTTATGATTTGGGGAATAAAAAGTATTTAGAAAATAGCCTCTTATGTTTTAGGATTTTGAAAAAGTGAAAAGTGGATGAAAAGTCCCGTTTATATAGCGCCCCGGATCCTCACTACGCGGTCCACAGAATTATAGGCGCGACCACGAAACCTTGGCCTTACCCTACCACGTCCACGAAATCTTTACCGTGGTCCACAGAATTATGGGCGCGGCCGCGAAACCTTAGCCTTACCCATTGCGGTCCGTGAAGCCCTCCACCGCGATCGCGAAATCCCACCGCGGTCCGCGAAGTTTCCAGCATGGCCGCACTCCAAGGTTCAGAGATCTGCAACTTTGCAACTATCTTACACCAGATCTTTTCTAAGCCTAGACATCTCGTAGCCTATCCGAAACACACTCAAGCCCCCGAGGCTCCAAACCAAACATGCACACCAGTCTTAACACATCATATAAACTTGCTTGGGCGATCAAATCGCTAAAATAACACCAAAAACTACGGATTTAGCATCAAAATCAATGAAATTCTCAAGAACAGTTAAAGTTTCTATTTTCACAACCGAGGGTCCGAATCCCGGTCAAATGAACTTCGTTTTTTTACCAAATTTCACTGACATGATACCTGTACCGGGCTTCGAAACCAAAGTATGAGCCCGATACCAACAAGATCAAACATTATTCAATTTCTAAAAACCATTATATTTTCAGTTTAACAATTTTCTTCAAAAATTCATTTTCTCGGGCTAGGGACCTTGAAATTCGATTCCGTGCATACGCCCAAGTACGGACCCATCCGGGACCATCAAAATACGGGTCCGGGTCCGTTTACTCAAAATATTGACCGAAATCAACTTAAATAAATTTCTAAAGGCAAAACTTAGCATTTTAACAAATTTTCATATAAAGGCTTTTCGGAAACGCATCCGGACTGTGCACGTAAATCGAGGAGAAAGAAGATGGGATTTTGAAGGCCTCGAAACCTTGGATTGGATTTTAAAACACGAGATGACCTTTTGGGTCGTCACAATCAACTAGATTAAAGGCTTGTTCATCTGAAGATTACTTTCCTATATTTTCTAATTTAGCTCTATTGTTTGTTTAAAATTATTAAGAGCTCTTATTTGAGAATGTATTAAAGTTTCATTTCTTCTCTATTTTTTATTTGCATTTTAAGTAACGTGATTCATATATTCTAGATGAACTCTGAATAAATGCAATTTGTAATTGTAAAGAAAAAGTTCAAAACCCTTAAGTTTGGCCTGTTTGGGTTTAGACTCGAAACCGTCCATTAAGTATATACTAGAACACTAATAGCCTTATTGTAATTATTTTCCGATGGCATGAATTTTTTTATTACAAAAATTAAGCTCCTGCCCATATGTCTATAGATGTTTGGCTGAGTTTGGTATGGATATAGGACCATGCTAGATCTTCTTGGAATGAAAAGTGTCAAGAATAGAGTGGACGTAGAAGAAATTTAGCATGCTGAAATGAAAGCATGTACCTAGAAGATGGCAAAATTCCTTGATGGAAAAGACCTTTCCTAAAATAGATTTACTTGGACTTGTCAACTTTGATTATAGTTGTCAGGGCGGAACTAAGAATTCTAACTAGGGAAATAAAGGAAGAAATTCACGATTACTTAGATTTATAACTGCTAGTTAAAGGGCTTGGAATCGATTTTTGACTTTTTGCGGAAAACATGGGGAAATCTATAATTATGCATTAAAATTAATTTTTTTAGCGTTAAAAAAAAGTAAAATAAATAAAAAAAGTAACATATTATAATAAGTTAATTTATATATGTTCACCGAATAACTATTATGCCTCAAAATCAAATAAGTTGTGATCAACTAATTACACTCTATATATACCAACAAAAATAACATATTCAGAATAATTCCGTAAGTGAGGTCTGAAAAAAGTAACGTATTTTGTATATGCAGATCTTACCCCTACTTTGTGAATGTAGAGAAGCTGTTTTCGATAGGTACTTGACTACTAATTTACAGTTTATATAATAAGCTAAATATTGATAGACATGTGGAAATCTTTCACACCTTAGAACATACAATAAAAACACTAGACTAGATTTCCATAATCTATACCTAGTGTAATAATTGCAACCCCAACTGCCATCCACTTAAAACTCAACTTTCTCTCCCTCTTTCTTAAATGCTTTTGCCAACACTATGTTCCACTTCTCCTTAAATAATTATTCCCTTTCCCCTCATAAAACCCCAACTCCTCATTTCTCTCATATTCCTTTCTCAAAAATGAAGAATTCTCTACTCATTTTTACTCTCTTAACTTTCTTTTTCATCACAATTACCTTCTCTTTTGCTGCTCAAAATGATAATGGTGGTGGATTTGGATTTGGGCCTGGTGGTGGATTTAACATACCTGGATTTGGTGGTGGTGGATATGGTGGTGGATTTGGAGGCCCAAAAGGAGGATATGCTAAAGGTGGTATTATAAGGCCCACTGTTGTTTGTAAAGATAAAGGCCCATGTTTGGGTAAGATACTAAGATGTCCAGCTAAATGTTTCAAATCATTTAGTAGAGCTGGAAAAGGTTATGGTTATGGTGGTGGAGGTGGTGGCTGTACTATGGATTGCAAGAAGAAATGTGTTGCTTATTGTTAAGAATCATTAAGTAAGTAATATAATATAGTATTTATAATATATGTTGGAGTTTTTAAAGAATATATATATATGATGGTGTTTTGGTTTTGAATATTTGGTTTGAATGAGTTTTGTGTGAAAATTCTATGTATGGAACTTAGTTCTGCTGTTTTAATATAGTAATAGTAGAATTAATGATGAGATATTTCTCTGTTTGTGGAAATGGTACGTTATTTTTCTTTGCTTAACCTAAGTGAGCTCTTATCTTATATTCTTGATTAAAGTTGGTCAAGAAAACTGAAAGAAACGCATGATATTCTTGATCATGCGCACTGAATCAATTACGTACAGCTTGGGTCAGTGACTCACTGGTTAAACGCTTTTTCCATCTTTGACTAATGAATTTAAAGTTTATTGGTTCGGGATTGTAGTCTGTGTAAATTGTTGGTAGGGTTGGGCATGGTTTGGGCAAACCCGAAATTCAAATCCAAATCTAAATTTTTGGTTTGAATTTCGGCTTGGATTGGATTTAATTTTTTCGGATTGGAGATATTGCATTTGGTACATTATCCATATGCAAATAGTAGTAAAAATAACACGGTATATCCAGTTTTCGGACTGGTCATTCAAAAATAGTCAGCTTTATCAAGTCAATGAAAAATAGCCACTATTTTGCTGCAACAGAGATCGGCCAACATAATATACTGGAGTTCGGTGCACCTGTATATAAACTCCAGCATATTATGCTGGACCGGTATACTTTGCTGGATCCAGTATAATATACCGGAGACTGGAGCACCGGTGCTCCAGTCTCCGGTATATTATACTGGATCCAGCAAAGTATACCGGTCCAGCATAATATACTGGAGTTCGGTGCACCTGTATATAAACTCCAGCATATTATGCTGGACCGGTATACTTTGCTGGATCCAGTATAATATACCGGAGACTGGAGCACCGGTGCTCCAAACTCCAGTATATTATGCTGGACCGGTATAGTTGCTGGAACTCCAATATATTATGGAGGAGTTCTAGTGTACTTATGCTGGAACTCCATCATATTATGCTGGAGTTCTAGCATACTTATCCTGGAACTCCATCATATTATGCTGGAGTTCCAGCATACTTATAACTCCAGTATAATATGTTGGAGTTCAAGTATACTTATGCTGGAACTCCAACATAATATACTGGCGTATTTTTCGGGTTTTGAACAGTATTTTCGCTCAGATTTATCTTTATATGAAAAGTGGCTAAATTTTGATTACTTTTGAAGCTGGGCTATTTTTGAACGACCAGTTGTAAATCTGGCTATTTTTGAATTTCTCCCCAAATAGTAATAAGTAGGGGTGTTCGTCGGTCGGTACGGTATAGTATTTATACATTTCGGTTCGGTATTTTCGGTATTCGATTTCTTAAAATCCTATACCAATACCGTACCTAATTAAATTCGGTATGGTTCGATTTTTCTCCTTTCGGTTTCGGTTTGTTCGGTTCGGTAACTTCGGTTTGAATACTAACTAGTGCATAAAGCCATACACTCTAATATTCTTAATTAAAGTACTCAAAAATACAAAACTGAAAATATTTGTTGACAAAAATTTTGTCCAAAACTAGCAAATATTGACCCAAATAGAGAAAATTTTACATAAAAGAATATTTGATCATTAGAAATGTCTTGTTACTTGTTTAGAGTTAATTGATGAACTTTGAGAATAAAGGAAAGTAAAATTTTAGATATTTTATATTTATGTTATAATTGATAATATGTGTTTTGCGTAATATAATATATATTTCGGTACGGTATCGGTATTTCGCTATTTTATTTTAAAATATCATACCTAATACAAGTTTTTTTAAAAACTTAAACCAAATACCCTACCAAATACCAAAATACCGTATACCAAATATCAAAATTTTCGGTTTCAGTACGGTAATTCGGTATTTACCAAATTATGCCCAATACCCTACCCATTAGATATTATCTCATATATTCAATACTAATGAGTACTAAGTTACTGTCAGGATACTTTCTATTTGAACATGGTTTTACTATTACTACTTCTTATTAGCCGTATCGATGTCTCTAGTGCATTTCCTTGATAATATTTTTATTACTTGAATACTTTGTTTGGGTGATGTGGTGGAGAACGAGGAACTTTCCAGATAATTTAACATGAGTACTTCATTTGGATATTTATTTTGGTAAAAAGAAGAAACATCTCAACTTATAACTCAAAAATGAAAATCCAAAATATCCAAACCGAACTTAAAAAATCTGATCCAATCCGAGCTTATTTAGATTGGATTTGGATTGATATTTTTTCGATCCGAAAATAGAAACACTACTAGAAATTCGGCAAAAATCGACTGCGGTCGACCGACCAAAGTTGATCGATTTTTTAAAATATATTATTTTTTAATTTTTTTTATGAAATCGACCAACTTTAATCGGTTTTCTTTGGCGCAAAAATGCGGAAAACTATTTTTGAGTCTCGCGAAATTTATTTTTCAAGAAACCTACCAACTTTGGTTGGTTTTTTATTTAAAATAAATTAAAATTAATATTAAAAAAATGACCGAAATCGTTCGGTTAATTCGGTCGGTCATTTTTAAAAAACGGCCGAATTCGGTTGGTAATTTTATTTTTTAATAAAATCGGCCGATATTGGTCGATTATTTTCGTGCAAAAATATAATTAAAGAGTATAAATGAAATAAAAGACAGTCTTAAAACAAAATGCACCAATGGTCCAGTGGTAGAATAGTATCCTGCCACAGTACAAACCCCGGTTCGATTTGGTCGATTTTTTCGGCAATTTTTTTTTTTGAATTTAATTGACCGACCAAAGTTGGTCGGTAATTTCTGACCAACTTTGGTCGGTATGTCCTTCTGACCTTCAAAATACCGACCATACGTTAATGGTCGCGTTTTGGACAATTATTATCCATTAGACCTACTTTGGTCGGTTTTTTTGGACGGTATCCAAACTGAAATTTTCATATTCAATCCGAACTGTGAACGCTCACCCTTAGTTGCTAGGTTCTAAATATATTTTTTTTACATATTTAGAGGAATTCTTAAGATAAATACAAAATTTGAACCAAAACTACTAGGTTAAACCGAACTTGCGCATGCCAGCTCTGCCCTACTAATGAGTAGGCTTGAAATATTAGCTTCTCCGTTCCATTTTATACAATGATGATGTTATCTCAAAATTAAGTTATAAAGTTACCTAATTTATTGACAAGTCCAATATGAAAAAGCATATCATTTCTTTAGAAAAGAACATTACATTTCTAAATTTTGTAAGTTCTTAATTCAATTATATTCTCATTTTACCCGTAAAACACTTTCTTCCAAGAAGAACATGGCATGTTTAAGACCATAAAATTTAAATATTAATTTTTGGTATGTTATATATGCTTTTAATTTAAGATCGTAAGATTCAAAAATCTCTTTTACATTCTTGATTTTTATATTTCATTTTTAAGATACATCAATTGAAACCAAGGGAATACTTTTATTTACCAGTAAGTCTCAAAGACAAACCTTAAAATGTTGTAAATAGGGGGCTGTTTGGCCTAGCATGACATTAAATAAAAGATAAATTTTAAAGTACAATTTCTGTTTCTGTTATCCAAAAAGGCGGTTTCTCATCTCCATTTCTGTTATGGTCAGAATTGAAAACTATAACCGAAACGTTTTGTTACACTTTAATTTGCGGGATAAGACAAACCCTGGTCCACTTGGGAAATATATTTTTCATATGATTATCTAGTCTTAAGTACCTAACCAATGAAAATCATGCGATCTTTGTCTGCTTGTCATAATTTCATGGGGATAGCAAATTACTAACGCATATAAATTAGAACTAGAGTAGTTATAGCTGAGCCTACATAAGATCAACGATTAAGCAGACGTTTGAATATAGATTTTGTTAAAATTTTAAAAAAAATAATTTTTAGAAGTGAAAGTTGAGTTTGAAAATGCATTTTACTAGAAAAAAACAGTTTTTGGAACCTGGAAAATTTTCTTCAATTTTTTTCAATAATTAATCAAATTATAAGATAAGTAATGTTTTTATTTATTTTTAAATATTAGAAAGAAAAAAAATCTATATCCAAATAGCAGCTAAGAGTCTTGAGAATGGATAACCTCTCTTTATGGAGCGATTTAACCGTAAAACTTAGGTGGAATGACCAATTTCTTAGTCGCTTATTAATATTTAGCCATTGTGTGTAATGTCTAAATAAGTAGAAAGTAAAAATAACAGTTAGTCGAATCAAACAATTGATAAGAACATATTAAAAGATAAAGACAGGAACGAAAATCCGCAATTATTTTTATCTAAATTCTTAGGCAAATTAACGAAAATGATGTATGATCATTAAAGCATATAAAGTAGAACTAGAGTGGTTGGGGAGTATAGCCGAGCCTACAAAAGAACAACTATTAAGGGTGATCATAATGTTTTTAATGGTATAGTCAATTTGCCTTTAATTCGAGGAAGAAATTTTATAAAGTTAGCTTAACCTAAGATTGAGTTGCCCCCCATTGAGGCAAATGAAGAATAGAAACTTCTTGTCGGGCTACGATTTACTTACTGCCTTTTAACACCTTTAATGTTTACACCAAATCAATATATAAATTATCGTTACATATTGTGTCACTTACTACCTCTTAACACCTTTAATGTTTACACCAAATCAATATATAAATTATCGTTACATACTTTGACACAGTAATTAGGATGAAAATCATATCCATCCCACTACGACCTTTTAACTAAATTTCATCTCCATGAGACATGACAATTAAGCAAACCGCGTGAATGTGTTGGTTCCTACACTTGGAGTACGTGGATAACTCGATTATTGAGTATACACCAACTACTCAATTATAATCAGTCTGACCTTAATATAAAACATATTTTAGAAAAGTATATAAACCAACTATTTATATTTTTCAAAGGCAAAACCAAGCGGATATAATTGTTCAGCCATGATAAAACATCGACATACTGCTATAGAAAGAAATTTACATGGCTGTGCGGTCTCCAACGCATAAAAAGGACGGTGCACTATACTCCCGCCATGCGCGGGGTTCGGAGAAGGATCGGACCACAAGGGTCTATTTCTACAAGAGGCTGTTTTCACGGCTCTAACCCTCGACCTCCTGGTGACATGACAACAACTTTACCAGTTACGCCAAGATCCCCAATGCATATGGCGGAATTTTATTTTATCGTAACTTGTTTTTAGTCCAAACTAATGAATACGGTGTTATCACTATATCATAGTTAATTAATATAAATGTTCAATATAACTTTGATTAGTCCTACAGAGCCAGAAGGGTATGCCAAAAAATAGAAAGGCTAAAAAGCGAGATTTACATACGCAAAGATTGTTTTTGCCAGATTTACAAAGATCTCTATATTTTTTCTAAAATCATTGTGGTCAAAGTAGTATAAATGAAGACATACATCACAGGAATGATAACTCAAAAATATGAAACAAGCATATCTGCCGGACTGAAGTGACCAAATTCTATATCTGCTACACCTCACCCGCGATTCACGATTATATTGCTGCTCTCAACGCCCCTCTAGCAGCTTCGCGCTTCATCTCTGCAGCTTTACCACTTCCTCGGAAATACATGTATACTTGCTGCATAATGAGATCGCAATGAACAAAAATGTTACGTCTCTCACTCCCTAAGATGACTAGAATAAAACTTAGTGTGGAAAAATCAGATAAAGAGGGAAGTCATACCTGAATAACCCAGATGCTCAATACTGATTCAAGACAAAATAGACCGAAACCGATGAAATAGAAAACCTAAAGGCCAGAGAATAAAAGTCATGTTAATAGTCAAACTTCAGATGACTACTTAAGCAGTTTTTTTTTTCCTTTTCTATTTTTCTTGTCGAAATTAATGAAGGGGCGGGGAGGAGGGAGTATGTTGGAGATGCTGTGGAATATGCTGAATAGCATGTTGAAAACGTACCCCAACAAGTACTTGTTTGCCGATGAGATCTACCGCAGGTAGAATGCCTCTGTTC